CCTTCCCCAGCAGCCTTGTCCACTTCTCCTGTCCCTCTGCCCTACGGGGTCACAGCTCCTAAAGCCACATAGCCCATCCCAGACCACACGATGGAGTTTTGGGGCTGCACACAGGTCAGCACTAAGTACATGGGTCCTGAGGAGCAGCCTGGGCCAGAGGGGGGTGGCTTGTTTCTCCCCCCAGCACGTGGCACAGCTTGCACAGAGCATCCCCTCCCCGAGTCCAGATGGGGTGAGAGCCTGGCCCAGGTTGCCCAGGGAAGCTGTGGCTGCCCCATCCCTGGCAGTGTTGAAGGGCAGGTTGGATGGGGCTTGGAGCAACCTGGGCTGGTGGGAGGTGTCCCTGCCCATGCAGGGGGTTGGATCTGGATGATCTTGAAGGTCCCTTCCAACCCAAACCAGTCTGGAATTCTATGAGTGTTCCCAAACAGCCATTTCCTCTCCCTGGAAGCTCCTCTGGGGGTGCAGTGCAGGCAGGATTGTTGCTTTGGCTGCTGGGTGGTTATTTTTTTGAAGAGCTTGTTATTTTAAAGCACTTATCTGTATCTAAACTCTTTGGAGGGACAGGAGGGGAGACGTGACCAGTGCCAGGAGAAAATTGCTCTGAAGACACAGATGAGTGATGTTCCCAAATACATGGTCTGGAGGCCATGGGTGGGGGGGTGCTCTGCCTGGGAAAGGAAGGGGAAGTGACAGTTCCTTGCTGGAGTCCTTAATGGCATTTCCAGGTAGGAGTCTCCACCTCTGCTTCTGGGATGACAAGCAGTGGTGGAGCCAGGCTGAGCTGAAGCTGCCCCCAGGGAGGGGACAGGGTGGGAGCTGTGGTGGGACTGGTGATGTCCTGCTGCCCAGGAGCCTCCCTGCACCCCCAGGGCCCTGCTGGGTGTTCCCTGTGACCCACAGCCAGCTCTTTCCTCCCATTTCCTCTGGCTCCATCCAGACTGGGGCTGACCTGGGAGGTGAGAGGAAAGGGAAAAGGGCAGTGATGGGTCCTGGGCACCCGTGAAGCCCTGGGAGGTGGGATGAACCAGCACAGCCCTTTCCTCTGCCCTGGAATATTCCACAGCCCTTTCCTCTGCCCTGAAATATTCTCAGGGCCCTGCCTGGGAGCAGGAAGATGCTGGAAAGCAGATCTCCCAAAACAAAAAGCACCCCTTGCCCAGGGAGGGGGAGCTGGAGGCTGCAGGTCTCGCTGCTCCCCTTGCCCAACATCAACCTCTGCCTTCAAAAGGATGTTTGAAAACTGGCCAGGCCAGAAGTGAGAACATCTGGGGCTGTGGCAACGGGACCTCTGGGGGAAAATCCAAGGAATGAAGGCTTGTTTAGTCCAGAGCAGCAGTGATGTGTGTGTGTAAGGGCTGTGTTTACAAGGCTAATCCCTTCTTCCTGTCCCCAGAGACCCAAACCTGCTGCTACCCACTTTCATGATAAGTGCTGATGCCATCAGCCCCAACTGTTTTTCCAACTGATGGGTTGGGTTTTTTTTTTTCCTTCCCAACACCCCAGGAGATGTTTCTGAGCAGCTCCTGGAGCCACCCAGCCCTTTGCCCCCAGAATGGGCAGGGCAGCACAGCTGGGGCTTGGAGCCAAGGAGGCTGTGGGAGCTGAAGGTTCCTGAAGGACAGGGCCAGGGACACCAATCCTGCAGCAGGAGCTGATGTCCAAGAGGCATCTTGGGGGGGGACTGTGTGTCCCTGTTAGGCAGGGACCTGCCCAGCCTGTCTGCAGCACCCCTGGGTGAAGGGGAAAGCTGCTTCCTGGCACGTTGGAATTGTCTTACTCACTGGGAACAAGGTTCAAGGGTGGGTGTCTTATCTCCACCCTTATCCAGGCCAGTGATAGCAGAGCTGAGGGATGGAAACCATGCAGGGAGAGCAAAGCCTCATGTGGTGACCACTGCAGCCAACCAGGATGGAATTTTCAGGAGGAGGTGCTGGTAAAGGCCCCCAAGGATCAGCAAGAGGCTTCACCCTGAAAAAAAAAAAACCCACCAAACAAAAAATAAGGAGTAAATTAAACCCAGCCCTGGGTTGACAGGACAGTCAGTGACGTGTTGGTGCCTGTTCCAGGCTGGGATCAAGGCTGGAAGAACAGCCAGAGCTAGAGGAGGGTTGGCCATGGATGTGGCTCCCAGCTGCTGGAGAAATGGTGCAGGTTGGAGCAGGGGTGGGGAGGGAACTTCTGCACTGGGGCACTCGGTGTCCCCAGCCTCCTGCTGCTCCAGGACAGGGGGTGGTGGCCCAACAAGGAGGTAGCTGAGGAAGAGATGAGGATGAGGAAGAGAAATTTTGGGGCTGGAGTGGGGACTGGATGCTACTGCCCTAACTCCTTGGCTCTTGGCCACATTGGGTGTGAGTGCTGGTCCCCCCCTGGGACAGGGCAGTGGCAGCTTTGGGTGTGGTTTGGCATGAGGCTGTTCCTCAAAATGCTGTGGGTGGGGGGGGAATTCCCACTGCTGGGCACTGCCCCATCCCTTTGGGATGACTGGTGGAGACTCAGGAGACCAGCAGCCAAGTGGGCTCCTTTCTGGAGTGTTCTCCTCCCATGACCAACACGGTCAAAGCAGAGACTTCCTCATCTGTCCAAAAAAGATGATGCACATCAGAAGCAAAAAGCCAAACAAGCTCTGTTGTTCCAGACATCCCCAGTTTCTCCAGCCTGGGTCTCTCCTGAGTCCACCCTTGATGCCAGCCCATGTCCAACAGCATCTTCCCACCTCAGGGCATCACCCCTGCAGAGAAGCAGGAGCTGCAGCCCCAGGGGACTTGGAGGAACATGGGGATGGTGGGACCAGGGTGCAACTTCTTCCTCCAGGTGCTGACAGCAGAGATGCCCCACTCCCAAACCAACCCAGAGCTGGGAACACAGCCATGTCTCCTGCTTGGAAGGTTGTGTCTCCTTTGAGGGGAGAAAAATCTACCACGTTTGACCTTCAGCATGAGCCCCAGGTCCCCCTGGTGCCCGTGGGGGGGACATGGAGTGCTCAGCCCACAGCAGAGCTCCTGCCAAGCAGCCCAGCAGTGACCTTCACGTGCTTCAGCCTCGTCATTTTGGATCCTCCAGCCTCTTGGCTGCCATTTCCCTTTCCCAGCAGAGCCCCCTGAAGGGTGGGGAGGCCCCTGGTCCCTGCCCTGGGGGGTGGCCAGCAGCCAGGCTGATGAGACGTGGTCTTTGGAGACCTTCTCCTCCTCCATCCCTCCTCATGGGCAGCCACTATGTCATCTTCCCATCCCCTTTCTGTCATGCAGCTCTTCTCATCTCACTTCTGCCCACCCTTTCTTGCTCACTTTGACCTGCACAAAAGGGGATGTGGGAAGGAATGAGCTGGAAGTTAAGCCAGGAAAGCCCTTTGCTCCTCTGCTCTACCCTCTTTTGGAAGCCCAAGCCAAGCTCCTGCCTCATCCCCAACCCTTCCTGCCCTCGGGGCAGTGCAGAGAAGAGGGTTGTCCTGCTGGAATCCTTGCTGTGGGCAAAAGGGAAAGGGAGCCAGGAATTTATTCTGGATAGCAGCAAAGTCTGACCAGGCAAAGGGCAGGTTTCAGCTCAGATCTGGGCTGCAGGAAAGGGAAGAGATGGAAGCTGCTGGGCAGGACTAGAACTGCAGCTCTGCCTTTCTTCAGCTGCTCCTGGGGGGGCAGTTTCTTACCTTGGGGTCCCCAGGGCACCTCCCTGCCCCTCACCCAGTGTTCCCTCTGGGCAGCATCCTTAGGGGACACAGTGAGTGGCTCAGAAAACCTGTCCCACAACAACTGGCTGTCCCCTCAGCCTTGGGAATGGGGAAGAAAGGAAGCGTGGCCTCCTGGCCATTGGGAAAACCCCTGAGTGGAGTCAAACCTCAGGCAGATGAGGGGCTCAGGGGGTGCAAACTCCACCAGCCTCTCTCCAGAGGCCTTGCAAAACTCAGTGCATGGCCCAGGGAGCTGCTGAGACCCCCAGGGAGCTGCTGGGAGCCCCAGGAAGCCCAACCCAGCAGCAGGAACTGTGTGTGTGTCCCAGTGCTGGACCTCCAGCCCCACCTCAGTGCTGGTGGAAATGAGGGCAACCAAACGTGGAGGGCTGCTGGGTGGTTTTATTATGCGACCTGGTGTGACATCCTCCTCCTCCCCCCTGGAACAGGGATAAATGAGGGTCTCATCCTTTTAACCCTTTCCTGGCTGTTTCTCTTCCCACTGCCCACCCCAACACCTCTGCCCTATTCTTTTCCATCCATGCCAAGCAGAATCCTGCAGGAAATCTCCATGCCAGCCCAGCATGGGGACCTTCCCCAGGGCAGGTGGGGGCTGCTGCTGGGGGGTCAGCCCAGCTGGGACCAAGCAGGGAAGCCACTGGTGTCCTTGGGGAGCAAAGTCTGTGGTGCTGGGGGGATGTGTCCCTTGGGAGGTGTGGGCTTGGGCCATGGGGTGGTGGTGGGTCGATCACCTGCATCCGTGGGGTGATGGTGGGTTTGTCCCCTGTGTCCAC